CGGGCGCCGGTCTGCCCGGGGCTGGGGCCCACAGAGGTGGGGTGCTGGGAGAGCTGAGTACGAGCGGAGCCGAGCAGAGGGCCCTGGGGCTGGTTTCCAGGCCCATGCGAGAAGGCTGCCGTCACCACCCACGCTGCCGGCCCAGAGTGGGAAAAAGGAAGCCGGAGGCCCGGAGCCACCCTGGGACGCCCCTGCGCCCGAGGACTGGGACACCGAGTACTAGGACCCCGAGAGCTGCCAGCAGCCACCACAGCAGGGATTCTGCTCGGCCCCCGGACCTCCTCGGACCCTGAGCCAGAAGAAGCCTGACCCTCCCGCGCTCTGTGCCTCCACCTCCAATTTGCCTTCACGTCCAGCTTCTGGCTTGGTGCTGGGATTGAACCCGGGGCCTCAGGCACAACTGGGCCAGGGCTCTGCTACCCAGCCCTTTCACTTTCTATTTCACTTTGATACAGGGTCTCCCCAGCCTGCCCAGAACTTGATTTTGTTTTTTATTGGTACCGGGGATCAAGCTCGGGGCTCTGTGCCTCCACCTCCAATTTGCCTTCACGTCCAGCTTCTGGCTTGGTGCTGGGATTGAACCCGGGGCCTCAGGCACAACTGGGCCAGGGCTCTGCTACCCAGCCCTTTCACTTTCTATTTCACTTTGATACAGGGTCTCCCCAGCCTGCCCAGAACTTGATTTTGTTTTTTATTGGTACCGGGGATCAAGCTCGGGACCTTCTGCTTGTGAGGCAGGTGGCAGAACCACTGAGCTAGATCCCTGGCCTCTGGCCTTGGACTGGAGACCGCCAGCCGCTCTTCTCCTTTACCCTCGTCCCGCCTTTCTGCCCCAGCTCCAGCCCAGCTGCAGGCCATCTCTAGGGTCCCTCCATCCCAGCCCAGCCCTGCCCCCGAGCCTCACTCGCGGCTCCCCTGTGTCCCGGGCACCTGAACCCTGCCCCTAGCCCACCGCTCCCCCTGCTCCTGGGTGGAAAAGCCCTGGCAGAGCAATAAACAGATGCTGTTGCCCACCTCTTCGTGTGTTCCTGCTTTTCCTGATTGCTGTGAGCTGAGCGAGACTTCTGCAAAAGGCCGGGTCTGGGGGGGTCACGCAGAGGGGCCCCTGGGGCCAGCGGTGGTGGGGGGGGACGGTTTCCCCTCCATCCCTGCTTCAGCGAATTCCATTCCCCGCCTCTGCTACGCTGCACTTTTGCCTGCTGGAAGCTGCTGGGCCCTGGGGCCATTGTGTGGGAGGCTTAAGGGGTTTGGGGACCCACGGGGACAGAGAGGCCAGCGACCTGGCCGGGCTCAGTCTGCACAGAGGGCCGTGGCAGAAGGAGGGCTGGGGCAGGCTCTGCCGCTCAGGTAGGCACCAGGCACGACTGGCCAGTCCCTGCCCAAGGACCGCAGGGTCCAGGCCCAGCTCCTCCTCCCCAGGGACCCCGTGCCCAGCCCCTGCCCCCACCCTTCTCTGGGCCAGAAATCCAAGCCCATGCCTCCTCACCTGGGACAGCAGCACCCACCTAGCTCTCTCCCGTCTGTCCCCTTCCCCACAGACTACCCACCATGTACAGCTTCATGGGCGGCGGCCTCTTCTGCGCCTGGGTGGGGACCGTCCTCCTGGTGGTGGCCACAGCCACGGACCACTGGATGCAGTACCGGCTGTCGGGGGCCTTTGCACACCAGGGCCTGTGGCGCTACTGCCTGGGCCACAAGTGCTACCTGCAGACGGAGAGCATCGGTGAGCTCGGCCAGCCTGGGTGGGGCTCCCAGCCAAGGGCCCCTGGCTGGCTACTCGAGGCAGGCCCACCGCGTGGGTGGGAGGGACTGCGGGGAGAGTGCACTGTTAGAGGCCAGGCTGAGGAGGTGACATTTCCTGACAAGCATCACGTGTAGCAGGTGGGGCTGCGGTTGTGAAGACAGATTTTTTTTTCTTTTCTTTTTTT